AACTGCCGTAGAATCAAGTGACGTCACCCACAAGTCAACCTCACTTAATCATACAAGGCGTTCGAGAAAACAATCCATCCATACTCAGTAATAAACATACATAACAAACATCACAATCAAACCATTGAATAGCGGAAATATTAAGCGGTAATTCATAGGCCACATTCGGCCAATAACATGGGCATGCAATCCCAAAAGTAGTTTATAACAATTAAAAATATCCTTGAGCAATGTTTGGTAATTTGAAAGAAACGAGGAAGCACGAACCACGTCTTCCTTGATTTGATGTCACCCGTAGAAAGGTGCAGGTAGCAAGCCCTAGCTTCAACCTGAAAATTGTGCCCCCCCCCCCCCCCCCGAAGGGGTCAGTACAAGTACCGAGCGAGCAGCAGGCTAAATATAGAATAACTAGTGTTTCAAGTATAAGACCCAAACATAGGGTGATACTTATGTAAATAGTCTTTCCCCCCAAGTTGAGAGATACTTATTAGTATATATACATTTGGAAAAATACTCGATCCATGGATCACTGTTTGTTTGGGAAAATTAGTAATAGCCAATATTCTTGACTAAAAACACCAACCAACCCATATACCTATGAGTGTATAGGACTCCTCCTTGTCCATATTTCAATATCATATTCTATGAGTTTTGAGGATCATAGTCCTTGGGTACTCCACTAATTTATATTTGAGTGTTAAGGACTTTTAGTCCTAGGGTCCTCCACCATTTTATTATCCGAGTGTTAAGGACTTTAAGTCCTAGGGTCCTCCACCAAAATATAATCCGAGTGTTAAGGACTTTAAGTCCTAGGGTCCTCCACCAATTTATAATCCGAGTGTTAAGGACTTTAAGTCATAGGGCCTCCACCCAAATATGAGTGTTAAGGGCTTTAAGTCCTAGGGTCCTCCACCAAAATATGAATGTTAAGGACTTTAAGTCCTAGGGTCCTCCACCAAAATATAATATGAGCGTTAAGGACTTTAAGTCCTAGGGTCCTCCACCAAAATATAATATGAGTGTTAAGGACTTTAAGTCCTAGGGTCTTCCACCAAATTTATAATCCTATGATCAACCTCCTATCAACCTAGATAGAGTCTATATCATATTTATTCATTCATAGCTAAATCAATACATAAAGCTTATGTATCACAATCCATGCAAAGCCATGCGTTTATATAAATTCATAATTAACTAATACCATCCGATATTAATTAATCCATTGTCCATCGGTCAACGTTTTCGTTGACCGCCATTTCAAGCCTTGTACATATCAACTTAATCATCATATATATTAAGTTAACAATGTTCATTCTATACTTCCTTTACCTTTCAAACATAGTATGCAATTTCATAGAAATTCTCATATCATATTCCATGCATATTCATGTACTTCTTCTCATATCAACCTCCTCTCACCTCATGACCATTTCCCACGCCGCTTTGTTCCATTAGGTGGGATATTTACATGGGTTGGCCCCCACTCATGTGGGATGTCATCCCTTAATACCTTGAAGTGTACACTTGGCCCCGAAAGTTGTATTTTTCAGACTGTTTTAATTATATTTTATTTTATCGGGTCAAATAAAATATATTATGTGTTTCCCATCATTATGGACTCTTAAAATGAATATACATTCCTCATCTGTAATTTAGGAGTCTCCGAAATCCGTTTCGGGCTGTTATCTGATAAATTACCAATACCGGTAATTGGGCCTCGTTTGACCGACGGGTCAACCCTATGCCCTTCTGTGGCCCAACTAAAATATCCACCACCATATTAATATTATCTAGACCGAGATGAATATAATATGTGGTCCCGGGATTATTGGGTGGTCCCCGCTCCTGATGCGGACCCCGCATGCAATTCACTATTCACGCAAAAGTAATAACAAAAATTTTTCAACCTTGTAAAATCATAAATCGTTATCCAATGTTCATTACATGATTTACTAAAAGTAAATATACTTGGGGACGGTGTTACATTGGTGGTGGGAGATTCCCGGTATTTCTTTTGAGAACTTTAAAAGTTCTTTGGTGGCCACGGTAGTAGTTTCTAATTACCCGAGTTTCTAACCCATTATGAGGTAGGGGGACGTTGTCCGAACTACTTGCACTTCTTACTACTCGGAGGGATTGGAATCCTTTTTAGGGGGTGTGCACACTTAACGGTGAAGTTCAGTTTCCAATTGGTGGTCGGTGGGAGCCGTAATTCCGGGATGAGTCGTACACAACGACGATTCATTGGACTCGAGCAATCTTGAGTTTCGTCCATCTTAAAAGAATCTAAGAGTGACATTGATTTTGAAATGGTGGTATTTTTAGTTACAAAAGTTATATTTTTGAAGAGTGATACTTTTATTTGAGATGTTAATTGTTTGGAGCATATACGTATTAGTTTTAACTATACGGGTATTTGAGATTATGAAGTTGATAAATGATGTTGTTAATTGAAAAGAATTTCGGTGGTGTGAGTATTTTTATATGGTATTATATGAAAAACTATTTTCACCAAACTTGATTATTTTCCGGGGTTGGGTAGTATTTACTTAGCTCTAAAGCTAATTTTTGTTTCCTTTTCTTTGTTTTGTTTTCTGCACTTTATTTGTGCAGGTAATGATGAATATGAAACTAATGATGTTTGACGAGCATTGAGAGTGCTTTAGAAGATTTAAGTGTAGCCTTCACTTAGTTTAAATAATGTTACTAAATTTTGAATTTAAGTTTTTAATTCGGTTGAACTCATGGTGGATAGCCTTAACATCCAGCCAAGTTGAGGGCTGGGTGTGGCGGTAACACACCCTTTTTCCATTACTGTTATTTCCGCTGTAAAACTCTGTTTATTTTTAAGGAATAAATCAAGGTTGTTATCAATATATTATTACTTCAGGTATTATTTTGGGTGGGAAAAATGAGGGTGTTACATCGTCGGTACTGGATTCACCGTCTACATTGTCGGAGTGGGTGGTGGTCGGTGGGGGCTGGGGAGCTAGTGCGTAGGGCTAGGTGGGGGCTGGTGCGTAGGGCTAGGCGCGGGTTAGTTGGGCTGGTAGGTAATAACAGGTCTAATTGGAAGGGGTGGGGTAAGGGGCGACGATAGCCACAGAAGGGGGCGGTGATGGCTAGGGAAGGGTGCGGCGATGGCCGTGGACATGACAGTGGCGGCGTTTATGGACAGAGCAAGGGCCACGTTGGCGGCTTGGGCTGAGAAAGGGACGATCGTGGTGGCGTTGGGGGCAATCATCGGCCTGGGGGTGGTGGCAATCACTAGCCAGGGGCGGGCGGAAATCACTAGCCGGGGGTGGCAGTCACTGTTCGGGGGATGAGCGGTAGTCACTGACAGGGGTCGGCAGTCACTGATCGGGGACGACAACAGTCACTGGTCGAGGGCGACGACTGTCACTGTACAGGTCGGTGGCGGCGATTGTCACTGTACAGGCCGGTGGCGGCGGCTATAACTGCACAGGCGAGTGGCGTCAGTCATTGATCGTAGCGGCGACGGAAGTCACTGTACGGCAGTATGGATGGTCAGTATTTCATGTCCATGTGGTCACTATTTCAAGTCCAGCCGATGCATGATAGTCATATTTTTGAAATTTTAATTTTCTAATCACGTTTTTGTCTTCAAGCCTTTTTTAGTAATATTCATAAAATAAGGCCTAGTTTCTTTTGGACGACTCAAAGTGTGATGTTCTTTAATTAGATTGATATTTTTGTATTATTGTGTTTTTATTCCTCATATGTACGTCATTTTACATACTAACTGTTAGGACCAAACAATAGATCTCCCAAACACCATAATGCATTCTGCCATATGAATCTACTAGTCAAATTCGCCAACATAATTTGTTGTTAATCAGGCAATCAGCTGCTAACGTAATCGGCTCACCGTTAACCACTGATTGCAAAGCATGTCTATACTTGCATAATATTAGACACTCAAACTATACAAGCAATTTACGCCAGAGTTTCAAGATAAATAAAAATTAAAAGTTTTTGTGCTCAATGCTAGAAAATTAACTTAAACAATATGAGGGTGTTTGGATCTTATTATTAAAACTGCTTTTGCTCCTTCAGGGAGCAGAAACAGAAGTTGAAGTGTTTGGGTGAAAGTGCAGAAGTACTTGTGGTACTCTAATTTACTTGTAGAATCATTTTTTATAACCTGGGGAAGACCAACTTTTGAAAACAGATTCTGATTCTGCTTTTGATTCTGCTTCAAAAAACAAGCAGAAGCAGAAATAGTTCTAAACACCTCTTGTGTATACAAAATAAATGTCACAATATTATAACAATGTTCAAAAAAGGCATCAAATTATGCATACCAATAAACAATTATGTGTTATGGGATAGTTGATGTATCAACTAATAATAAAAACGGAGAGTTAATCCAATACTCCCTTATTCATTTGATTGTTTTAAAATTGAAGGTCCTATTTTTTGTTTTTGGAGGAAGAGTCGAAGAACATTTCCCAAGTTTTTTCATCATGACCATATTTTTTTTTAAAAATGGAGAGTTAATCTAATAGTCCTTTATGTTAGCACAATGTCCATATTTTTTCACAAATATAATTTTATAATACTGAGTACATAATTTGAAACATACAAAAATTTATGAAAATGCAATTAGAATTAGGTTGTATTGTATTAATATTATTTATTTAAAAAAATGAAAGTTTAGAATGTTAACTGCATCCAAATAAAGTTTACAATTTTTAAAATTACATACTTATTACAAAAATTTAAATTTTGTAAAAAATATAAAATTGTGATGTAAAAATAATTTTTTATATAAAATTTAAAATGTATATATTACATTTGTAAATTTTGAAATATTTATCTCATACCCTTCCAAGTGAGTATTTATTTTGTCCGGGGGCGTCCAAAGAGCCGAAGATATGTTCGGGGGCGTCCAAAGAGCCGAAGATATTGGGCTCTAGCCCAGTAGCTCGAATTAACATATACAGTCAAGTTCGGGCGTGAAACGTCGTCGTTTTATGGTCCTTGTTGAATCCTTTCTGCGTGGCTGCGAGATCCGGAACCCATCCCCCCATCGGATCAGGCGAGATTTGTAATGGAAAAATAACAATTTATCAGCAACTTGCGACCTTCGGCTGTCCTTGTTCGATCTTCAGCAGTTCAGCATCCACGGAGACTGCAGGTCTGTACACCACTCCACCAGAGAACTCGTCGAGGCAGCGTGCTCTGCCGGCTGCCCCAACCCGTTGGCCCGCTACACGTCAAGCCTGATTGCAGGTCAGCCGCCGCCGCAGCCCGCCCGTCTGCTGCACTGCCGCTCCTGAACCTCGTATAAACTCCCAATTTCCGTCACTATCCTTCAAGGTACACTATTCCTAGACTAAAATTTTGATTACAGATTATGTTGAATTTCTATGACCTAGTCCGCCAATTCCAGATTTAATTACTGAAGTTTTTTATGCTCAAAACTTGATATTCATTTCACTGTTTTGTATTCTGATTGAAAACTCATGATAATATGAATGGGAGTATTGTTTAAAACTCATTATATTATAAGGAGTAATTGGAAACTCATTGTGCTCAAAACTCAGATGTTGAAAACTTATAATATGATTGGGATTTGTGTCCATGAATATTAATCCCATTGTTTGGCATTAAACCAGTAAATTAATACCATCGTTAATATCTAGTTTGTATTAATGTCATCTATTGGACGTTTACTATTAATATGATAGTGATTTTTGTGAGCATTAAATATTAATCTCATTGTTTAGAATTATTAGTTCGAGTCCCATTGGGTCGAATATAGACTGTCTTATTTTTGTGTAACTTATCATATGATGTGGTATACTGAAGTAGAGTTCAAAAAGTTGATAAAGATAGATTTAAAGAGATACTATAAATCTTTTGAAGAAGAAGCTAATGTAGAATGTAGATATCATTATCAAGCTACACCCGTATGTAAAAACCCCAACAGTTATGAATTTGCGACGTGTTTTTTGTACGTGACTTTGATGAAAACTTCTATTCTTGTAAACATCTATAGTACATATTTTTTGTATTCTATATTTTATGCAATTGTTTCTATATTATATATATGAAGATTTTGTCCCCGCCTGAACTGGAATGCTTGCCCCTGCCAACACCCCTTGGATTTCCAAATCCATTATTTAAAAAAACCCTACTAAATGCTCTCTCTTGTTCTATCGGGGCCCTTTCTTCTGTTTTTCCATCTTCCATGTATCCTCTCTATACTTATGCTCCTTTCAAGTTCCACCTTCAGTATAGACGTGTGTTTTGTACTTTTATGCCCATCTGTTCTTAGGAAAGTGAATTCGTGAGAGTGTATATGTTTGAGGGTATACGCAGGGGAGAGAGAAAAAAGAAGATTCTTGTTTCTGAAATTAATTAGGTTTTTGAATATTTCCTAGGTTTAAGAAAGTGAATTCGTGAATTGATGTGTTTCTAAAAATTTATTATATTCCTAAAATTCCAAAAAGGAGTGCCCTGATTTCTTTTCTAAGGAATTATTTCATATGCGTGCTTTTAGAAATTAGAGGCAAATTTCTAAGGTTTTTAAAATGTTGGGATTTTTTGTTCAAATTAATGAAAACAGTTTTTGTGCCTGGAAGGCTGAAACTGCAGAAGCTTTTCCATTGTTTGCTCTTTTACTTTTCCTTTATTTCCCGATTTTGAACTGTTTTTTACAGTGAATGCATAATTTAACATCTATTAAAATCCACAGAATTTTAAGATATAGAATTTCATAGGATTCCACGGAAATATGATAGAATCCATAGAATTCTATAATAATCTGTAGAATCTACAATCTGTGCTGGGGAAACTCCCCTAAATTGGATACTTATATGGTTAAAACCAGAATTCTCAAATTTGTTTGGAAATACACCATGTTTAAATTGAAATTTGAAATATAAAATCACCGACTGGAAATTTACAAATAATAAAAATTAGAGAAAATGGAAACTAATAATTCAACCTTTTAGCGGTCTTCTTACAATAGTCCCACCTTTTCATTATTCATGAATAATCCAACCTTTGCACCCATCTTCATTCACCGGCCTCTGACCAATTTATGACCTGTTATTCCAATGTATTTTCTTATCTTTGCAAAACATTATGTGATCATAAGATGAGAATTATGGTATAATGTTTTACGAAGATAAGAAAATAACTTGGAATAACATGTCATAAATCGGTAAGAGACCAGTGAATGAAGATGAGGTGAAAAGATTGGATTATTCATGAATAATAAAAAAGTGGGACTATTGTAAGAAGGCCGTTAAAAGGTTGGATTATTAGTTTCCATTTTCCCTAAAAATTATAGTACAAAATTTGTAGTCCAAATTTGTAATTTGTTTAACACAAAGTCACAATAGGAACTTCAATTTGTGTAACATGCGTAAGGGTCTGTTTACTTTGAACTTAATGAGTTTAATTGATAATGGTAACTTATTCGCTCAGCTATATGATGTTGTTTACTTAGGACATACGGAGTAATGCATATTCTGACTTATTCTGTCAGACGTTTCCTTACTTATTCGCTCAGCGCACTTTTACTTGTCCTTCGGGTCAGACGTTTCAAAATTACTGGAGTCTCGCTTATACCCCGACTTATCCATCGGCGAAACCAGGGTTCTTAGCCGACACTTCTCATGGTCCGCCTTCTTCTACAAGTTGAAATCGTTAGTTGTCTTCTTCTTTAGCCGACACTTCTTCTTCTACGAAACCACCGTTCCTAGCCGACAGTTCTCATTGTCCGCCTTCTTCTTCTGCAAGTTTAAACCAGCGTTCGTAGACAACAAGTAATGCCTTCTTCTTTACATATCTTCAGCAGTTGAAATCGTCCGCCTTATTCTTCAGTTGTCATCGCCGACATCACCTGCACTCTGAATCCATCGCCAGCAGGTGAGGAACGTATTACAAAGGTAGCGACCAAAGCTATATCTCTTGTCTTCTTCATCTAGGTATTCTCTCTAAATTTATATTGCATCTTATGATTTTATAGATTGAAGACTTTGCTTATATGCTCAATCTGATTAGTTTCAATTTAATGGAAAATATACTTCATGCACTGCGATTTTTAGTATAATAAAGCAGTACTCCTTCACATTCAATTGAAATCTCGGAGGACAACTTTCTTCATAAATTTAGGATAAATACTTCATAAAAATACTTGAACTCAATTTAGCATATACGAATATTGCATCTTCTTCCTCATTTCGCATGACTTTTGCAGACCCTTTCATATATCCCTGTTTTTAGCAGATGAGTTTGTTAGTTTTCCATAACTTGTAGCAGATGGTTTTTGCCTAGTTTCTGTGTGTTCATATTCTGTTTTCTTTCTTCAGGCTTTGCTTGTTTCTTTATGTTTTGTTTTAACACGTTTTTTCTGTTGTGTTTTTTTGTGTGCAATGCACCCCAACAACTAATGCATGTAATACTTGTTATTCACATTGGAAATGAGTGTATTAGTTCTGTGATTCATGGGGGTCAAGGGTCGACATCATAAACATGGATATTGATGTTGAATTAATCCTTTTCAATTTTTTGTGGAACTTGGTAGCATTTTATTTTTTTAACAGCATTTTGTAAACTATGACAAACCTAAATATCAGAAATCTTTTAACTAAGATAAAAAAACAGGCCATTTACCTATGTTATTCTGTCAATACAAACATAACCATAATGATGTCGTTTTACCTTGTTTATTTTTTCGTATAGGTAGTGCTCCTACAAACAAAAATCAGGTCTTTTAGCTTATTTATTTGAATTATTGTGGTATACTTATGTCATTATTTAGTATGGAATACAGTGGCGAATCGGAAAAACAGAAAAGATGTCCAAGAGGAGAAGGAGGAAGTCAAGAAAGCGAAGAAGAAATAGATGGAACGCAATGGGGCACCCATAGCATACAATATATGATGAATTTACGGGATGAAATTGCTAATAGATTAGTAGGAACATGAAATTGCTAATAGATTACCCAAATGCTTAAATTAAATATGTTGTCAAAATTTTCTTGAATTTGTTTCTGTTGTCTTTTGTGATATGAACATGTTTGATCAATACATTAATATTATAATAAATTTTATGCAATAACAATATTATCCGGAATAGTAAAAGTAAATAGACAATATATATACAGCACTTGGTTACAGGCACAAGGATAAATTGGTAATTGAATATCGTTCAGACTATTCATTCAGCACACATAGTAAACAGCTTGTTATACTAGTGTCCCTTATTCCAGACAAACGTCTTAATACAGACAGACATCTTAATCTAGACAGGACTTAATGAAAAAAAGTAAACAGCCCCTAATTCTCATTGTGTAACAAACTGGTAATCTATGAATTCAGGAGGAATACAATGGTGAAAGTAAAAGAGTCAGATCCAAGTTTGGGGTATTTGACCTTGAAGGAAACCGAGGTCAAGCTGCCAAGGCCGACCCGGGTTAAAAACAAGACCCCTGCTCCCATTCAGATCACCGCAGAGCAAATTCTTCGTGAGTCTCGGGAAAGGCAGGAGGCAGAAATAAGACCCCCAAAGCAGAAAATAACTGACCATAGCGAACTCTCAGACTATAGGATTCAGAAGCGCAAACAGTTCGAAGACCTAATCCGCCGTGTGAGGTGGAACAAGGGAGTGTGGGTTAAGTATGCCCGATGGGAAGAGTCCCAAAAGGACTTCAACCGTGCTCGCTCTGTGTGGGAGCGTGCATTGGAGATATTCTACAGAGAGCCAACAATGTGGCTCAATTATGCGGAGGTGGAGATGAAGAATAAATTTATAAATCATGCCAGGAATGTCTGGGACCGAGCTGTCTCCCTCTTGCCAAGGATTGATCAGCTTTGGTATAAATACATTCATATGGAAGAGATGCTTGGGAATGTCCCAGGAGCGAGGCAGGTGTTTGAGAGATGGATGACATGGCAACCTGACCAACAGGGTTGGCTATCATACATCAAGTTCGAACTTAGGTATAATGAGGTCGACCGGGCTAGAGCAATTTTTGAGAGATTTGTTCAGTGTCATCCAAAAGTGAGTGCTTGGATTCGGTTTGCCAAGTTTGAAATGAAAAATGGGGAGATTTCACGGTCTAGGAATTGTTATGAGAGGGCAGTGGATAAGTTGGCAGATGATGAAGAGGCAGAACAGCTGTTTGTTGCTTTTGCAGAGTTTGAGGAGATGTGCAAAGAGTCAGGAAGGGCTAGGTGTATATATAAGTTTGCACTTGATCATATACCAAAAGGTCGAGCTGAGGATTTGTATAAAAAGTATGTGGCTTTTGAGAAGCAGTATGGTGATAAGGATGGGATAGAGGATGCCATTGTTGGGAAGAGGAGGTTTCAGTATGAGGATGAGGTTAGGAAGAATCCGCACAATTATGATGCCTGGTTTGATTATATACGCCTTGAAGAGAATGTGGGAATCAAGGCGAGGATTAGAGAGGTTTATGAGAGAGCCATTGCCAATTTGCCTCCTGCTGAGGAGAAACGTTATTGGCAGAGATATATATACTTGTGGTATGAAAAGTTTTTATGGTGATCATGCTTTTTGAATTATCATTACATTTAATTTTTAGATGTCAATCGCTGGCTAAATTTTTATTTTTAGGATCAATTATGCTTTATATGAGGAGCTTGATGCACATGACATGGAACGCACTAGAGACGTCTACAGGTAAATCTGATTGACCATATTTGTGGCTTTAAGTCATATTGTCGAGGTTGTTTTAGGGAGTACGATACACTGATAAAGGTTACATTATTTTTCAAATATGTGCTCCATGTTTGGAACACAGAAAGGGCAGAGAAAGTTAAATTTGTTGATGGGACAGAGCTTTTTAAATCTTTGGTATCACCTTAGAAAATGCAAGGAAAATAAACTTGATTAAATATCTTTATAAGTTTACCATATTGTTAGATATCTTTGTCTTGATACAACAGAAATATATTAATAAAATGAAATTGAACAGATATCTTAAATCAATTTTGAGGTGTTTGATTGTATTTTCTTTCCAGAATCCAGACTGACTGTTCAGCTCTCCAGAAAGAACTTTTTCCTTGGGATATTTGATAAATTTTTATATTTTACTATTGACAGGGAGTGTCTAAAATTGATCCCTCATAAAAAGTTTTCATTTGCCAAGATATGGCTTTTAGCAGCCCAGTTTGAAATAAGGCAGTTAAGGCTTAATGCTGCCCGATCAATCCTTGGAACAGCAATCGGAAAGGCTCCAAAGGACAAGGTATTTACCCATTAGTAGTTTACTTGAGGGGAAAAGCAATGTTACTTAAGGCAGTTTGAAGCTGACCTTTTGGATTTTATAATATGTTTCTCTTTCATTTTGGGTTCTCAACATTCTACAATCTTTTCTGATGGGTGTTTTTGTAACATACAGATATTCAAGAAGTACATTGAAATAGAATTGCGATTAGGCAACATTGATCGTTGCCGAAAACTTTATGAGAAATACTTAGAGTGGTCCCCAGAGAACTGTTATGCCTGGACAAAATTTGCTGAGCTGGAAAAGTCTTTGGATGAAACGGAGCGGGCAAGATCTATTTTTGAGCTTGCAATTGACCAAGTTGCATTGGACATGCCAGAGTTACTATGGAAGGTATTGATCCTAAATCTTATCTAACTTAGCCACAGTTTTTTTGGTGTTGCTGAAAGTGGAATTGAATATGCCTGGAATCTTATTTAATTTGATTGTGTGCCTTTTGATGTTCTTATTTTTCTCAGTAAGAATTGGAGTTCATATTGCATATTTGATATTTCTTTGAAATACTTGACATAAAACCGGTTCAATTAGAATTTTTAAGAAGTCAAAAAGGAATATGGAACTATGGATGTCTGTTTTGATGTTACAAAACATACTTATAAACCGGTTTTAATTCTTCAACCTATTTTAGGCGTACATCGACTTTGAGATATCAGAAGGAGAATTCGAAAGGACTAGAGCATTGTATGAGCGGCTTTTAAACCGCACAAAACATTTGAAAGTGTGGATTAGTTACGCGAAGTTTGAAGCTTCTGCTGTAGAAGGGGACTCCTCGGACCCTGAACAACAAGACGTCAGTCGCGAACAAAAGGAAGAAGGCTTACACCGGGCTAGAGGTAAAACATACTTATCTTCATAATAGAACATTCTTCCATCCATCCAAATAAAGAGTTTGTTTTAGACTTTTTGACACTTTTTTCTCTAAAAAATGTTCAGTTAATAATGTTAATTTTGTCATGTTAATATGCCTAAGAAATGTGTCATAGGCAGGCTACATATTTACGCACTAAAATGAAAGGATGTGCAATGGCTAAACATGACTTGTTTTTTGGGCAGTGGAGCATGATATTGTTATGGTAAGCAATGAATTAATGCACCATTTTCTTTTACACATTAGGTGTGTTTGAAAGAGCTCTAGGCTACTACAGAACTTCAGCTCCTGAATTAAAAGAGGAGAGGGCAATGCTTTTAGAAGAATGGCTCAACTTGGAAAGCAGTTTCGGGGATGTTGGTGATGTTGGGTTAGTCCGGTCTAAGATGCCCAAGAAACTCAAAAAGAGGCGCCAAATTGAGACGGAGGATGGCCCGGCAGGGTATGAGGAATACATAGACTACCTATTCCCTGAAGAGACACAGACCACAAATCTCAAAATTTTGGAAGCTGCATACATGTGGAAAAGACAAAAGGTCTCTAGTGACGATTGATGATCGATTGATACTGAGTTGGTTCTATAACTTGTACCTGTCTCGCTCCTTGGGCTAAGTCTGACCTGCGTGGAGTATAAATAGCTGTAGTCGGAGCTGCAGGTGATTGGTATGGTAATATAAGTTATGGAGTTTATGGATATAGTATGGATCCTGAAAAACTGCCAGTTAGTGATGTACGGACATGTACTTGGTGGGAAATTTTCATTTCTTCTTTCCTTGTTCTCTAGGGTTAATGGGTTATTTACTTAATTGCATCTGTTTATTCTAGAGAGTGACAAAGACAAATCTGTATGACAATGACAACTTCTGCTGGCTATTATAAACAGTATCACTTCAAAGAAATTAGCAGCCGGTTTCAGAAGTTTGTTTTTTGCCTTAAAAAAAACTTTAAGAGTTGTGTTTTGACCGATTGTTGATCATGCTTTATTAGAGTAAGAGTCCTCTGAGCATATGACCCCCTCGTGTTCAATAAAATACTAAAGTCATAATTGTCCAGGACTTTGTTCTCACTTGAACTTATCCATGAAGATCCCATATTAGAACATTTAGTATGTATAATTGTATTGATATTAAAGTCCCCCCTCCCCCCCTAGAGTCCCAGCAATGTTTGGACTTTGGATTATCCATGAAGATCCCATATTAGAACATTTAGTATGTATTGATATTAAAGTATCCCCCTCGGAGATAGTTTCTAGTTTCTACTTTCCAGCAATGTTTGAATAGTATCATAACTATTAATTTCTTATAAGTAATTAGTTTTTGTGTGCACCAATTTGAATCTGATCATTTTCGTAAAATGATCACTGGTTCTCGAATGATAAATCAAGTGTTGAGACTTCAGAACTACCTCATAAGATGTTAAGCCGTAAGAAATGCTACGAAGTACCTTGGGTGCCGTAAGTGGGAATTGAACCTGGGTACCAAATCTACCAAAGATGAATATGAAAAGTACATCGATCAGCTTATTTTTTTTGTTAAGCGTTATTATTAGTTTAAATTTAAGAGTTATTTTTTAAAAATTTTGAAAGATTATGGACAAGTGTCATACTCTATATCAAAGTATATTAAGGGGGTGTTTGGATTTGATTTTTAAAACTGCTTCTGCTCCTTCAGGGAGCAGAAGCAGAAGTTGGAGTGTTTGGGTAAAAGTGCAGAAGTGATTCTGGTGCTCTAATTTACTCCTGAAATCAGTTTTTTCAGAAGCTGGGGGTGACCAGCTTCTGAAAACTGATTCTGATTCTGCTTTTTCTTTAAAAAAGAAGCAGAATCAGAATCGGTTCCAAACACCCCCTAAGACGAGAGATCGAAAAACAATGAATGATAAATGTACAATTGATACCATTGCATCAAACGGATGTTTTAGTTATGCTACGTATTTGATACTACGTATTACGAGATTTGGAAGTTCAAAATTAGTCGAAATGTAACGGAATTTAAATTTTGATATTATTTCAATCGCCGGTGTGAGGGCACAATTTGATAATGATCTAATTATTAGGGCATCTTCAATGTTATAATATGTACGATTCACATGTGAAATGAGAGATAGTCACATATAAGGATGGATCGAACCGGGCCAAATCGGCCCCGTGAACCGGACCGGTCTGTTACTGTGCGGGCCCGGATCGGACCGGGACCGGTTGGCCAGGCCCGGTCCTCTTTTAGTTGAAACGGCCCGGTTCTTTTTTTTCATTTTTTTTTTCTTTTCCTTAGGTAGGGCTGGGTGTTTTGGGGAGGTTTGAGGGGTGGGGGTCGGGGGATAATTACAAAGCAAATACATTATATATATATATATATATATATTACACATACCCGTGCCGGTTAGGCCCGGACCCGGTATCATCCTGGGCCGATTCCGGGCCCAACAATCTGAAAAAAAGCCCGCCCGGTCCCGGTCCGGGTCCATCCCTAGTCACATACTACCACCGTCTCAAATTGATTTGCAAATTTGACTTTTCTTTGTCAAACAGTTTCGTTTTGTTCACTTAATTAGGATGCCAATTTTTAATTATATTCTAATTTGGAATTTGCAACTTTGAAGAGATTTTGATGTAGTTTATGAATATGTAAATATTAATCATTAAAAATTGAATTAATTATTCATAGGGAGGATTGACTTTTATTATTGGTTAACAAAAATGTTGACTTTGCAAAACAAATTGGGACGGAGGTAGTAAATATTACTACTTCCGTCCCCTGGAAGGTTCCCATAGCAAAACGACACGGTTATTTAGGCAATAATTAAATAAAGTACTTCGAGTATATTTTGAAAAATAATTTTAATAGGTATATATTATAATGTAGTTAGTATTTATAATTGTGATGTTATAAATGTATTATTTATAATATTTAATGATTAATTTGTCACTTAAGATTGTTAATAGTTTCCTAAAATGGAAATGGAAATCTTCTAACGGGACTTCCAAAAAAGAAAGTGGGAACCTTCTAACGAGAGGAAGGGAGTATCAAATAAATTATCTATTATCTTATTTAGATGATTCTATACAATTTTGGTAAGTTTTTATCTGCAATGTCAACATCTACACGGTCTTGTTGACATTGTGGAGAAAAACTTCCCCAAATTTACCAAATTTTGAACCAATTAAATTAGAAATAATTACATAATTATGAATAAAAATAACTATGAATAAAATAAAGATTATTTATAAAAAATGTAACTAATGACTAGAGTAGTAATGTAGTCATAATACTTTATGATCAAATTTTAAACTTAAATTGCCATGACATTATAGTAACTATTCGTCATATTTCTGTAAATAAATTCTATTTTAGTAATATTTCTGAGGAAAACCCATTAAATTACCCATGAAAACAGCTTCTCCTGCATTTGATTGACTGAGAATCTATTATTGCATTTAAGTACCTTATTTTATACTCCGTATTTCTGAAAAGTACAGAATCTTGTAAGCCATATATGACTACGAATTACATATGTGAAGCATCATGAGAATAAAAGATGTTTGATGATTTTGACAGAATAATGATAGAAACTTTTCTTAGTATAAATTGGACGCACACTCCGTATAAATTACACATGGATTGGCTAAAACCTGTGTCTGGCCTTGCTTGCCAACTAAGTACTCCCTCCGGTTCTGAAACATATTTACGCTTTCCATTTTTTGCGTACCAGAAAGATCTTTACATTTCTTATTTGCCTTACAAATCTACACCAAACAGTGTCAAACAGTGTTAAATAGTGTCTAACAGTGTCAAGGTTCTAGAGTTCTAGGGTCTAGGGTCTTGGGTCTCGGGTCTAATAAATAGTATATGGAGTAATAAATATTTTACTTTGAAATGAGATGAACAATATCAACTTAATATAAGATCGTACAACATTCCAATCGCCTTTCATTTAGTCATTTATGACTATTTTATCTATTAAGGTAATAGATAAAGCCTTCCAAAAGCTTCCCTTTCAAAGCCCTTTATCCAAACAAGCCCTAGAGATGTCAAAGCATGGGTGTTAACTGTTAAGTATACACCAGATCCTCTCATTTGGTTTCAGAAGTCAAAAGGAAAGTAATACTGAAGTTCTTGACTTCTTGTTAGTTTAATAAATAAAAAAAACAGTCAGTGTATGAAAGAGTATCATATCATAGAATTCAATATTCATACACCAAGTAAATCAATATGGGTGTGTGTAATTTTACATCTCCAGGACAAAAGTTAAGGAGCTAGCCATCCAAGAATGCATAAAGGAATAAAGAAATTTCCAAACGAGAAAACCATATAAAACTACAGTTTAAACACCAAAACTTTTAAGAATCTAACTATTCATTCAGACCCCAAACCAGTGCTTTGATTCACAATTCTCATCTGCTTAGCTTCTTATAGAGATTGGGAAACAACCTTTTGGAAAATCCCGCCTTGCAGATACCTTTCCACCATATAACATTGAAGGCTGAGGATCTTCTTCCAACTCTTCCCCATCTTCCTGTGCTTCTTCTTCTGAAGGATCATAGTCACTCCCATCCTCACTGTTCACAGGATTATCAGTGTAAGCAGATGATTTATGAACCCCCTTGAAACGATTGCGGATTGCAGTTATTTTTAGTCTCTTAGCATCATAGCAATCTGACTCATATTCTGGGGGATTAACAGATTTCACCACGATTTCGTTAAATTCTTCTGCAGGTTCATACTCGATCTCAATCATCTCACCATCAGTCTTATTTCTCCTCCAGAAATAAGGCTCAAATTCATCGAAGCCTTTTCGAATATCTGTCTCAAGTCCAACAGATTTAGCTGCGTTAGATTCATCGAATTGCTCTGTTTCTTCTTCCGATGGATCATAATCGCTGTCATGTTCTTCAACAGGGAGACTGGGCTTTCCAGGAAAGTCGCGCCTGGCGGATACCTTACTGGAATTAGGGTTAGAATAATGAAGAGCGGAAAAATCATCAAGATTTTCCCGGATCCGTTTAACGCAACAAATACCATCCATTGAAGAACCTTCTAATAATATGAATGTCACTGTTATTACGAATGCAGAGAAGAGTAGAAGACTAGTTGGAATTAGAGTAGAAGGCTATTAAAGCCAAGCACCGTCCCTTGCTGCCATAGTAAGGCAGAGAATCACGATCCATTAAAGTACTCACTTGGGAACTGAACTTGAACGGCGGATATCATATCCTAATTTTTTCACTTGGAAAATGAATTCAATTTTGCCAAGTGTACACCATTTTTGTACTTTGGTACCCCGTATAAATACTCCCCTATTTTTTTTACCTCACTTCTTTTTCCAATCCGATTCAAAATTTACCCTATTTTCGTTCGCCTTCCATCCCTCCCAATTCCCGCTCCACTCCCGCACTCACTCCACGATTCGGACTGCCATTTTCGCGGACAACCCACTCCGCTCTGGAGAAACGAACGCCGGACAACCCATAGGCTCTGCTCTGCTCTGGAGAAACGAACGCCGGACAACCACACCCATCCATCGCTTGTCGAAGTTCGTAGACGGACAACCGAACCCATCGAACTGAAGTCAGTTCATCCAGGCGCTGGTCCAAGTTCGTAGACGCGCTGCTGTGCTCCAAGAGTCACTAGTCCAAGTTCAACGAAAAAAGAAGATAACTTTGAAGTCATGGTGCAAACAAGTTTAACCGATTTTGCTAAAAGGTAATATTTTCATCCTTGTGCAGTACTCACCTTACCATAATTGATTTAATTTGATTAAACTAGACCTAATTGAGTGTGATGTTTTATCTAGATGTCTGTCATTCATATTTCCGTGTCTGTCTTTTTTTGTAGTTGTCTGTCAATTGCCTAGAATTGTTTGTCTCGTGTTTTCAGTTGTCTGTGAAGAAATTTTAAATGTTTGTGCTGTGATACATAGATGTCTATCATTCTTATTGAGTTGTCTGTCTTATTTTGTGTGCATTTTTGGAAATGTCATAGGGCTCTCGAATTGCAAATTCCTGTCTCTGACCACTTCCCCGCTCAAATATCACAGTGTTCTGAATTTAAAGATGCTGCAAAGTTGGTGAAATCGGGGTTGACTCCTACGCAGCTTGCTGATTTTAGGAAGATGCCGTGGGGCCATCTTCTTGATGTGCCAGAGCTTCAGTTCTCAGCGCAAATTGTCCATAGCCTTTTGTTGAGACTAGTGTGTGACCAGCCTAAAGATGAACTATGGTTTTGCGTGAATGACAAGTTGTTAAAATTTACCTGTAATGATTTTGAACGCATAACTGGGCTCTGTTATGTTGGTCCAACTCCGGTCATCTCCGATGTAGATGAAGGCAATGGGACGTTACTAGATAAGTTCTTCGGTGGTGCCAAGGAGATCAGCTTTGGGACCTTGACGGCAAAGATGCAGTCTATAAAGCCGAAAAAGGCAGGACCTCGCGGTGATCCTCTCAAGCTTGCATGTGCTTTCTACGTGCAATGTGTTTTGATACCGAGGAACAAGAAAACATTGATGAATTCTCAGTTTCTGAAATTGGCGGATAACTTAGACAGATTTAAAGCCTACCCTTAGGCAAAAGTGTCCTACAATCTAATGGTTTCTCATATAAAGTGTCCTCATCTTTCTTCTTTCCGTTCAGTACTGAATTGTCTGTGTTTTATATATTTTTGTTTGTCTCATATATTTTGTCTGTCTGTGTGTCCTTAAACATGAAATGCAGGTGGATAAAGCAAATATGCCCGATATTGATGAGTCTGTACCTTCAGATACTGCCTATTGGGATGAGGTGGTGGATTCATGGCAAACCGCCGCTAAAGGGGAGTTGGAAGCGGATGTGGGAATGAAAAGAAAACGATTCGCCTCTAAGTTCAAACTTAGCCCTTTCATCGACTCTAACCCAAAGCGGTTAAAAGCCATCACCAAAGCCAACGATAACATCAACCCAGTAGACGAGTGGACTGATTTGAAGAATTGGGTTGAAGATGATGAGAGTGTTCCCCAAGCCAGTGTGATATTACATGTCCATGAAGTCCTTAAAGTGAGCAGGGCTTTTTTCCAAGTCCTACTATCTCCGGATCATTGGTTGTCAAGCACGGTCAGTTCATTGTAGACATTTTCCTTTATGTTCATGTATTTGACAATGATTTGATTTTGACATTGTTTCTTTGTTTTTAGCACCGCCACGCAATAACACAGTTGCTCAACAAAGACATCGTTGCGCATTCCGTGACTTTGATAAGCCCCTACGTTGTGGTACCTATATCATTTTTTTCTAGCAACGTCGTGATATGATCTGTTAAATCGCCTTACATTTTATAATTTATAAAATATATGTAGCATAAAATTCTTAAGAAAGACATTGCCAACAACACACATTGGGGTGGAGATAAATTCCTGAAAAAGCAAGAGTGGGCATCTTTTGAAAGGGTATTGTATGTCTAAGTCTTATAATTGTCTGTCTGGTATTGTTTTACTAATTTTGTGTCTGTGTACACACAACACCTACACTTTGAGATTAATTGTTAATATTGGCATCTTTTGATTCCTTTAAATGCTGAGAATAAGCATTGGGTGTTGGCGGAAGTTCTGTTTCGATATAGATTGGTTAGGGTTTACGACTCTATGAAGACTTCTAGGACTCCATATTATGCAAATGAGTTGTGTGTGCGGATGCCTTACCTAGTTCGTGCAATGGGATTGTGTCCGGATGATAATGATTTGCAACCATGGAAAGCCGAAGCAGTGGATGTTGTGCCTCAACAAAATGCAGGGTATTAAACTCAATAATTATGTACATTACATGTATTGTTTGTCTAAGTCGTATAATTGTTTGTCTGTTTTTTTGTCTGTCTACAGATAAGGTGAATGTGGGGTCATGGTCCTAGCTTTTGCAGAACAGTTACTCTTAGGAAATTCACTGGTTCCTGATTGCGACTATGGCAACGTGCACAACAAAAGACGCGACTATGGTATTCGTCTTTGGCGGTTGAGAAAAGAAGAAGCTTAGAGTGTTTTACAATACTTGTCCCATTATAAGTTGTGGTTCAAACTTGGGGAAATATGTCGAAGATTGTACAATGTTAGATGTTCAATGTTGTACAATGTTCAACAATTGACTAGGGTATTTTGAACGTGTATGGCTGTGGACATATAAAATTTATTGGGCCGGTTGTGATGATTATTGGACTTCTTTAAAATATACCAGATTATTCTCAATCATTTTGGGCTTCTTTTGAATTGTATTGAGCCAACGTCGACTCTACTGGGCTGCTTGTGGTGATTGTTGGGCCTTATAAAATATTAATATCGATCCATTCGGATAAAATGCAATGATTAAACTAATTTGGGTCATTTAAATATCCAATTAATTTAATTATAAATTAAATCTTTAAAAGAATGGACCGATCCTATTAATTTCTTTATTTTGAGCCCATTATTAAATAGTAGCCCAATGAATAAGAGTCATGATCCAATTGATAAAGAGAACAATGAATATGGTTAAGGAATCCATCCGTATGCATGGAAAATGGCTACGAACCTTGTTAAAAAATCTGTCCAGATACATCAAACAAGTGTTGATTTTTCTAGCTATCAAATGCAAGCAAATAGAGCCCAAAGCCCATTTTCTTTGAGGCCCTGAGCATATGAACGAATTTCATGCAACCCTAAGTCATATTTTATCCCCTCCACACTTATAAATAGGGGTCTCAGTTGATAGAAAGGGGGAAGAGAGAATTTTTAGATGAAGAAACGCTGCATAAAAGCTCTCAAAAACTCCCGAAAGGCTCTGAACGATTCCAAAGAAGAGGAATAGATCAAGCCACGAATTTTATTAAGAATATACGAATAATCCTTCGTGATTTCGTCGATTCTTAATAAAATAAATCCAAAAGTCGAAGAATGCTCGAAGATCTGAAGAACGAAGCTTGAAGATTTGAAAATCTGAAGAACAAGACTTTGAAGATTCGAAGATATGAAGAACGAATCTTTGAAGATTTGAAGATACTCATATGAAGATTGAATTGAAATTCAATTGAAGATCAAGCCATATATCCCGGGAGGCCCTTAAACAAAAGATCAAGCCATAAAACAGCCCTTTTGTTGAAGATCAAGCCACTTGAAAATTGGAGGCCCTTCAAGTTGCATTCTTAATTCAAAAAGATTTGAAGATCTGACAAACGAAGATTCAAAGATTCGAAGATCTCAAGAACAAAGATTTGAAGATCTGAAGAACGTTCGAACGTTTGAAGGATTAAAGATTTAATTTTGAATTAATTTCTTTAATTATATTTATTTCAAATTGCAAGTGAAGAATCAGAGGATTCATATTTAGAGATTGTACTCATTATTCTCACATATTATTATTTGCGATCAATTTTAAGTAAATACTTAAAATTTGTTTCACAAATTTTCGGCACGTCCGGTGGGACATCTCTACCTCTCATCTCTTCACTTTTGAAAATGAACCCATGACATCAAACAAGCCCGTGTTCACTCTAAATTCTAGAGCATCATCAAGCTCAAATCAAAACATGCAAGGCCCTATCACTAGGATCCGTTCAAGAATCATGACTGCGCAGTCATCTTCGGGAACTACTCCCGGTGCGATGGATAGATTTCAAATTGCGCAAGAGATGGTCCGGAAGCTTTCTTCACCCATACGTGAAGTTACTTCCCCAAAATGGACAAGTAGTGGTGAAAGCTCATCATCTGGGTCAGACTCTACTTCCCCGTCAACCTCTCCACGAAGAACTACTCTGCAGTGGTCAAATGTCTACAATGTGATGCCCACTATGATGACAAGCACGACATCTATGGACGAACAAATCGCCCATTTAACTAAGGTCATCGAGGGAATGAGCATGTTCACCAAAAGCTCGGTTTATTAAGACTTAATCGTCTCGGTTGGGTTTCAAGTCTACGAACACCAAACTTAAAGTCTCATTCCATTAATCCAGCAAATATTTTTCTAAACTAATTTTCAAAATTCTCAAAAGTATTCATTTGAAATATGTGGGGGATTGTTGGAAAAATAAAATTATTTCAAATGAAACATACTTTATAAATTAACTTTATAAATTAAATATTTTTGTATATTCTATTAAAAAATATTTTTAATAAATGTTCATTGAGTATTTTCAAATATTACCGTTAAGCATTTACTTGTCCATTTATATTGGAAGTGCTCAAACGGTTATGCTTATACAAAGTTATTGCTTTATGTAAATGTTTAACTTTTACATATGGAGTTTTAAATGTGGTGTGGGAGCTGATGAGCTGTTGCTTCAAGAATTATCAACGTGGGAGTCAAACTAATTGATCCCAACGTTAGTTTTGGTATAAACTTTAGTGTGCTTTAATTTTGAACGTTTCTCATCTAGTTAGCCTTCGAGTATATATATGTGTGTGTTCGGCCAAATTCTAAGGCTAAGAAAAAATTGATTTTGAGCTAAAATATCCCCTAATATTCTCACTCTGCTAGATTAATATAATTCTTCATTCTCGTTGTTCTGTTACCGGCTTACGTCGAAGAGCTCGTTTTATCTTGGGGAAAGATTTTCGCTAGTCGGAAATATTTTTTTGAGGACAGCGTTTACGTGACTCGAGCTATTTTATTTTCTAACGTTTTTTGCAGGTTTTTTTCGGCCAATTTCCATCAACAGTTAACACCGTCAAAATCGGATTATTTTTGTGAAACAAATAAGTAGTAGGGATTGTTTTTGTGAAATTTATGAGTAGGGATTATTTTTGTAGAATGTGTAAAAGTACGGATTATTAGTGTCAATTTTGCCTTAATCAAATAACTCATTTGTCAATTGATTTATAATACATTGAGAAAAACAGAGATAATCAGCACAAATATCTAAACGAGAACTAGCCACCGTGGCTAAGATATATGAGAACTAGCCACCGTGGCTAAGATATATGAGCAGCTGAGTCCCAAATCCGAAGAGAGTTGTCAAGTGGGAAAATGTAGAAAAGAGATCTGTTTTATATGAAAAAGATGTTCATATTATAATTTTAAGTGATATAATCAAAATATAAATTGTAAATAATGTAGAAAAAGTGTGAATAGTTTGAAAGAAATATGAAAATGCATTAATAGAGGATAAAAATGAAAAGAAGCGAGAAAATTTATTTGTATATAAATGAAAAATTAGGAAAGTTGTGCATGTAATAAAATATTTTCGTAAGAAATATAAGGAGTACATGAGAAGTTAATAGATAGAGATGGAGTGCTAATTTTCACTTTATTTTCAATGCTTTCGGCTGACAAATCGTTTGGTAACACTAGAAGTTTGACTGAATCGACTGATTTCATTCAAACTTATGAAGTTTTGACTTAAGTGGCTGGAGTGGCTTATTATTCTAATTTATGAAAAACATATTTTATAAATAAAATAAAGAAAAAATTATATGAAAAATAGATAAATCCGATCGTCTACAGTAACTTCAACTACAAAAGTAACCTCAACATTACTTATTTTTATTATTACACAATTCAACGCGCGAAATAAAAAATTGTACGTTTGGTAAAAAAGTTTAACCAATAAATCTGATAGAACAAAAAATAGGGTCACTAAAGGATCTCTTATTATGTTGGAAGTTCGAACTACCAAAAAGGAACCAACCATATTTTGGATTACTATAAATAGATATCTTTTTTTAACCATGACAACATGTGATTGATTATGAGTCGTGAGATACCACTATATATTCGTAGATAGCCTTTATTGTTGGTACGATCAGGGAATAATTTATTATTAAAAACGGATCGAAAATCATTGGGATTATCATTTTGTATTTTTATCATGGTTATTATTATCATCACTATATATAACATAGTCTATGGCTATGTTTGGCACAACGAGCTAAAACTAGAGGTTATTGTCTAAATCAGATACCGTTGTCTGGAACTGAACTTCAAAGTGCTGAATATGAATCGCTAGCTGAATGAAGTAGATCCGTTTGACAAAAAGAGCTAAAATATGGTGTGATAATATGAAGATTACATTAAAGGGCATATGATTTATTTAAAAATTAAAATATGTATTATAATGGTTTTTATACTTTAACCCTATTAGTAGTTCACCATCTTCATCATAAATATTAAATAATGTTCAATTACGGGAAGAAACCAACGAGAAGAACAAATTAGGAACAGCTGAATTTGTAGCTTACAGTAATGAATTCAGACAAAAAAAATGGGGGGAAGAGGCGATCGATTATGGATTTACAGTAGAGTGGAGAGGAAGATAAGTGTTGATGATAACCTTGTTTTCCGCCAAAGAAACTCGGATATACACGCGGGGTACTCCGGGAATCTGGAGGTATTATATAATCCGCTTATTAGAAACGCTAGGCTTACAAACGTTTGTATTCAGCCTGGTTTAGACTTGCATCCAAATTGTTTACACAATAATCACTTGAACTGAAAATAACTCAACGATTCATTTGTTTACACAAAGATGTATGACTAAAATGTGATTGACAAATTGCTGGTATTTAAAACAAACCAATAAATTACAGAAACACCAAACAGTCGAACAAACGAAAAACCTTTTCTTGGAAAAACAGTTAACTACCTAGAACAACAAGAATAACCCTTGTTCTTGTTCGGCTTCAATGCATCATCATCAAATCCATTACTATTATTATGGCCAAGGCGGACTCTATTGACAGATAACTCTGCTTTATAAGAATCAGAGTTCAAAACCTTTCTGCTAACATTGTTATATATCTCGCGGATAACAATCTCAAAAGCCTGTTTTACGTTTGTGGAATCTAGCGCGGACGTCTCCATAAAGAACATCCCTTCAGCTTCTGCAATGCTTCTGCCCTCCTCAACACTCACAGCCCTTATGTTGTTCAGGTCACATTTATTGCCCACTAGCATCCTCGCAACGGTTGTATCAGAATGAGCTGCACACCATTTGGTCTTTTAAGTCAAAGCTCAAGTTGACCAGAAAAGTGTGAATGAAAAAAGCATAGGGAGAAACCAGAATATGAAATGATTGAGGACTCAACTCCACACTTTAAGTGTGTGTGGAGGGAGAGGGGCTAAGGGCACATGGGCAGTCACTTTGTAATCTTCTCTCAGTCTCCCACTACAGATAACTTTTGAAGGAAAGAAAATTTGATGGAAAATAAATCGAACCGTTTCAACACTCATAAATCCATTCTAGATATGTGTTATATCTGGTTTGGTTTATATAATTCTATATTGTAAAGACTTTGAAAAACCAAAGGTCTAAAGTAAAAAGTTCTAACGCGAACTGATTCCCTTCATACTTTTAAGTTAAAATCAAACATAATCACCAAATGTTTTTATTTTTTGTAGGTACATATTCTTGTGTAAATGGTCATATGAACCTCAAGTCATATGCTGTTTTCTCCCAAACACTCATTTTTACTATTCTAATTGTTCCTAATGCTAAAATTCCAACTGCCCCAATTCACCACCATCGCTCTAAACCGTTCCACCTCACACCTCTGCAGCTTTGCTACAAGAATAAATCTTATACAGGAGACTGAAAGTCCTGTGCATTTTCATATGAGATACGGAGTATGTAGTATGAAAAACAGACAAAAAGACCTTTCTAGGGAAACATGAATGTGATTTTCAATAAAAAGAGTCATCAAGAATACTGTACTTTAGTGCTCAAAATGTCAACTTTAAGAGTTTATTACACAGTACTTTTATTTTTTATTTACCCTTTTATGAACAAATATGTCCGACACTTACAAATACTTTCAATACATCTACAGAACTCCAGACTAGCTTCTGTTGACTTTCTTATACTCCCTTCCTCCCGTTGTAATGTCCTCGGTTTGACCTACACACATATTAAGGAAATAAACTTACCAGGGGGTAAATTTTACTGTTTTGACACTGTTTCGCACTGTTTCGACACTGTTTGACATTGTTTTGCACTGTTTGACCCTGTTTTGATGTAGGATAACTTTCCATTTAGGGAAATGGGAACTTTCCAACGGGACATCCAAAAAAGGAAAGCGGGAACATTCCAACGGGACGGAGGGAGTACTTATTAACTTAAGGAGTTTAATTTACTGTATGATTTTATTTTCCAAGATTTTATAATTCAGTGAACTCGAAAGTAGCTGACTTTATCCATTAAAAAGGTGACTTTATCCATTTCAGAAAATATCATTCTTCTACTTCTTTGTAATATTATTTTTAGCAAGAAATCAGGACTTTTACAAAAATTATCATACTCCCTCCGTCCCCCAATTAAGTTATGTGTTTGACTTCACACATATTAAGAAAATAAATTTACCGGGGGTAAATTTTACTGTTTTGACACTGTTTGGACACTGTTTTGCGATGTTTTGCACTGTTTGGACACTGTTTTGCACTGTTTGACATTGTTTTGATGTAGATAATTTGCCAAATAAGGAAAGTAAGGAAGTGTGAACTTAATTTAGGGACTGTCCAAAAAGGAAAGTGATAACTTAATTGGGGGACGGGGGAGTATATCATTACATCATTCAAATTTACTTTTTATTGCATCATTGCATGTAATACATAAAATTATCCAATAGCAGCACATTTGAACAGTGAGTACTTACTTACACCGAGTACTTGCTCTACAAATATAATAATAATAATAATAATAATAATACTATGTTGGGTGAAAAAGCCCGACCTAAGCACCATAATCATATTGTACTGAATATTAGTTACACTTGCAAAGGGACAAATATTTTCCTATAATACTCTTTTATTCTATTTTCCCCAAATTCTTTTGGGATTAAGGCTCGGATGTCCTTGTTGTTGTAGTCTTTTATGCTATTTTGCCGTGCCTGGCATGTGTGCAAAGAGACTGACATTTTCCAGTCCTTCCATGGATTTAATTAATCCAAACTACAGATTGAAATTTTCAATACTGATTATTGGCCGTTTCATTGTCACTTTTTGACATAGATTTATCGATAAGATTTTTACCTGATATGATTTTTTATAGTCGCATTGAATTGCTACTGGGGTATAATTGTTCAAGATAACCATTTTAGCTCTTTTGAATATCTTTTTTATCAATAAAATATATTCTAAATATGTTATCATGATTTGAAGCCTTAGCATTTCAGGTTAAATTCAAAACCTACCCACATTTCTGCATACTTAAAGAATTCCATATTTCCATTGCTAATTCACAAGCAAGTATACATGATATATCACCCTAAAATTCACACTACTTATTAATGAACAAAAAAAGATAAACAGGCATATGACTATATCATTGGTAGATCACTAGTAGCTCCAAGATGGAATTTTTGCTAGAAAAGAACCATAAATGAGACAAAACATTGGGGAAAACAAAAAAAATTAACAGGGGAAAGAAGAGTAGGAGTTATTACTGTTAAGTTCTTCGAGCCAGCGAGGAATACTGTCGAAGGTGGTGCGGCGGGTAATATCGTAGACGACGAGAACGCCAAAGGCGCCGCGGTAGTAGGCGGAGATGACCGCCCGGAACCGCTCTTGGCCGGCGGTGTCCCAAATCTGGGCCTTAACCTCCTTTCCGTCGATATGAAGGGTCTGGGTCTGGAACTCAACGCCGATGGTGGTCTTGGAGTGCATATTGAACTCGTTCCTGGCATAGCGGGAGAGAAGGTTGGTCTTCCCCACCGCAGAGTCGCCGATGATGACTATCTTAAAGAGGTACTCCTCCGCGCCCTCGCCGTCGGAATAACCCATCCGTCCGTGGAGTGAAAAGGTACAGGAAATAGAGATCTGGCTGAGCTGCAAGCCTTCTTATATTGTACGGAGTAATGTGAAAACGGCGGTGCGGTGAACGGTGGTGGAGGCATTGAATGAAATTGACCCAAATGCTGAGTACAAGGTCAATGTTACTTCCTTGTCCGTTTTACGTCATACCAATGAGTCAAGTACTATGAATGTTGTAAGCTCACGGAACCTCTAATGTACTAGACCTCCACAAAACCGGGCCGGGCCGCCCGGCTCACCCAGCCCGCCCGCACAAATGGGCGGGCTTGGGCATATATATTTACCCACCGGGCAGGTTCGAGCCCGCCCGCAATAAGATATGGGTGGGCTTGAGTTAGGATGTAGGCCCATTCGGGCCGATAAGCCCAGTCCGCTACATTTAGTATATATAAATATATATATTTATATATATATACTAATTTATTTATTTATTTATTTGCATATACACATGTATATTTATATCTACTAATTTTTATTTATACATATTTATAGTTTATTATGTTTAAATTTAAATTTTTAGTTCTTGAAAACTAGCCTAACCAATATAATATCTATTTTTGTACGTAAAGATAATACTTTGTGCATAAATTTTAGATATAGTTTCTCATTATTATTTTTTTGTATGTGGTGAAAGACGTATAAACATTATAAGCGTATTAATTATCTTCTAAATGTTGTAATATTATTTTTAAAGTATTTAAAAAATCATATAATTTTGAAAAAATTAAAGTATTCCCGGGCCGGGCGGCCCGGTGGACTACCCGGCCCGCTCTTATGGGCCCGTTTTTGCGGGCCGGGCTCGCCACTTGAAGATCGAGCCAAAGGACTTTGACCCGGCAGCATACGGGCTCCCCCCTGCAGCCAGACATCCGTGTTCCTCTCCCCCCCGATGTCGAGAGGCCAGACCTGGAGGACTCTGAGCTTATGAAGGAAGCCGAGGGTGACGAACCTGAGGCCGACGCAGAAGTTACCTCGAAGCCATCGGGGGAGGCGGCCCCCCGGGAATGACATTGTTGATATGTAACATTCATTATGTAAACATGTATTTGTAATGGTGACATTATTCATCCTTCGGCTTCGGCCTGCTTGTAACATTTATCGTAATTACATTTGCCCTCCGTTGTTGATGATTGGATGATTGCCTTCGGGCTATGTATATATGACTTGTTTTCTCCAATTCCTCTCTTCTTGAATGTATGCCTTCGTTTTCCTTGAGTGTATGCCTTCGGTATTTTTGAATGTATGTTTAGGACTTAGAATATTTTCTGATTGTAGCTTGCCCCTGGAAGCCTTCGGTAGTTGGGCATCCTCTGCTGGACATACAACCGAGGGTTCAGCAATAATTAGGACTTAGAAAATTTTTCTAAGTGTAGCACAGCATGGGGCCTTCGGGTGTTCGTAGTGACCCAAATCCTAGGACTTAGAAAAATTTCTAAGTGTAGATTTCCCCTTGAGAGCCTTCGGGATATGGCATCCCTTCCTGATGTGTGGACGTTGGACCGAGGGCCCAATGCACAGGACTTAGAGATTTTTTGCCAGTGTAGTATGTCACGTAGCCTTCGGCTACTGTGGAGCCCCAACTGAAATATTGAATAGGCCGGGGGCCAATTCTTTAGGACTTAGAAAATTTTCTTCAGTGTTGATTCCTTGTGTATTGTAGCCTTCGATTGATAGGTAGCCTTCGGCTATTGGGTCCCTTTATAAGTTGAGGGTGAAATATGTAGGACTTAGAAAGATTTCCAAGTGCAGTTTTTCTTGGGAGCCTTCGGGAGATGGCACCCTCCATGATGTATGAGTAGTTGACCGGGGGGAAAATATGTAGGTCTTAGAAAATATTCTAAGTGTAGATTTTCCCTTGGGAGCCATCGGGAGATGGCATCCCTCCTTGATGCATGAGTAGTTGACCGGGGGGAAAACATGCAGGACTTAGAAAATATTCTAAGTGTAGGTTTTCCCTTGGGAGCCTTCGGGAGATGGCATCCCTCCTTGATGCATGAGTAGTTGACCGGGGGGAAAACATGTAGGACTTAGAAAATATTCTAAGTGTAGATTTCCCCTTGGGAGCCTTCGGGAGATGGCATCCCTTCTTGATTCCACATCACTTTGCGAGATGCCCGGGGGCTGGCCTTCGGCTACCATCTTCCCTTGGCTGTAATATTGATTGGGCCGGGGGCCCAATCTTTAGGACTTAGAATTTTTTCAAGTGCTGCTTCCTTGTGTAGCCTTCGGGTGATAGGTGCCCTCTGACTCTACATTACTTTGCGTAAATTGATGTTGAATCCTGTTGTTGTGAAGAAAGCCAATGAGGAGTGTGTGCCCTCGGCATACACTTTAAAAGATGTAGAATTTGACCCTTGTCATGGGGAAAAGGCCCTCGGTATATGTTTGAAGGTACCGTCTTAGTGTACTTTGGATAGTCCAGTCCCTTTGTATTGTTGAAGCCTTCGGTGTTTGTGTGACCGGAGGTGGCCAGGCAGTGGATTTAGCCGTTCCTTGCTGCTATTTGTTCGAGTAGTATCCTTCGGGAAATAGGAGCCTTCAGTTACCGGCGGTGTTCCCGTGGGGAGCCCTCGGTTTGTTGTGATCTGTTGGAGTGTACTCTTTGATTTCTCGCTGAGTCTACTCCCCTTCACCCCCTCTTTTTTTTTTGGTTGGTGGTGAAGGGAAGGCATCAAGAAACTTGGTTTCTTGGTAAGGCTGGGCCTATTAGGAGACCATCAGAATACACCAATGGCTCTCCTCCCTCGGGTTAACCTTCCGAGTTCCGAGGGGATCGAGGGACGTTTCCTGGGCACAAGATATGGTGGTCCGTAACCTGCCTCCCCTTGGGGGATGGCGCGGAAAGCGCCTCATTTTTGAAAGTCGTCCCCTCGGCGCTAGACATAGTCCGTGGCCTGCCACACCCTTGGGGTGGTGGCGCGGGGAGCGTTTCGGTTTGGAAGTCGAATCCTGGGCATTTCTCATGCCTGTCATACCCTAGGGGTAGTGACGCGGATAGCGTTCCGTTTTTGAAAGTCGAATCCTGGGCATTTCTCATGCCTGTCATACCCTGGGGGTAGTGACGCGGAAAGCGTTTCAAGGAAGGGTTTTCATTTGCACACTAGTTGCAAATGGCCGGGGGCACTACGTGCGCCGGCACCGATGGTGGCGCCTTCGGTATATGCGTCCTCGTGGGGTACGGCTTTTAGAAACAACACTTGGTGTTAGTTTCGATGTGTAGCCCCCGGTACTTGGTACCGAGGGGTCTTCTGTAGGAACACTTGGTGTTCTCTTTTGTCATAGTTGATGTAGGCGTCTACCCTCGGTACTTGGTACCGAAGGGTCTTCAAATGAAACATTTGGTGTTTCCCAACAGATGTTTGGAAGTTGATTGGAGAGCATATCCCTGGCACTGGGTGCCGAGGGGTCTTCTTTGAAACATTTTGGTGTTTTTTCTTCGTTTCGATGTTTGATGATGGAGGTGTACCCTTGGCACTGGGTGCCGAAGGGTCTTCTGTAGGAACACTTGGTGTTCTCATCTTCTTTTTTTTTTGATGTTGAAGGTGGGAATGTACCCTCGACACTGGGTGCCGAAGGGAAATGAAACACATGACGTTCCTTGTTGTTGGTGATAGGAGTTCCCTCCCTCGGTACTTGGTACCGAGGGGTCTTAACTGAAAACACGTGGTGTTCTCACCGTTTGTTGTAGGTGTTGATGGTGTCCTCCCTCGGCACTTGGTGCCGGAGGGGGTTCTTCTCGTGGTGAGGCCTGGGGCATGTAGTCATTATGAGGGCTTGATGTCTTGAATGTATCTTCATTCTTCGAAATTGGAGGCCATGGGCCATATGAGGGCTTGGCCGCTCTTACATTATTGATAAAACTTAACTAAATGGTGTACATTCCAATGCCTAGGGACTTCTTTCCCGTTGGGGCGTTTGAGCTTGTAGGTCCCAGGTTTGATGATGGCTGCTATGATGTAGGGGCCTTCGAATTTTGGTGCCATTTTTCCTCCCTCGGTTGGTTGGCTGGCTTCCCTCCTCCGGAGGACATAGTCCCCCACTTGAAATTCTCGGGTGCGAACTTTGGCGTCGATGTAGCTTTTAACTTGCCTTCGGTAGTTTTCTGCCCGGATGAAGGCCTGCTCCCGGCGTTCTGAAATGAGGTGGAGGTCGAGGGCCATGTTGCTGTCGTTGACCTCGGGGTCATATTGGATCACCCTTCGGGTAGGAAGGGTGACTTCCGTAGGAGCTTTGGCTTCAAAACCGTAGCAGAGGGAGAAGGGTGTTTCACCTGTTGCTCGCCGAGGGGTGGTGCGGTAGGCCCAAAGGATGTTGTGGAGTTCTTCCACCCAGCCACCACCCTCGGCCTCCAGCTTCTTTTTGAGGCCCTCGAGCAAGGTCCGGTTGGCGTTCTCTACTTGCCCGTTGCCTTGAGGGTAGGCAACGGAGGAGAAGGTGTGTTTGATGCCCCATGCCTCCAGAAGGGCACAAAAGGGGGCTGCCTCAAATTGTGTCCCATTGTCGGAGATGATCTGCTGGGGGACGCCAAACCTTGTGAGGATGTTCTTGAGGACGAAGTGACAACACTTCGCCTCTGTGATGCTGGCGAGGGGTTCAGCCTCCACCCACTTGGTAAAATAGTCGACGGCCACAATGATGTATCTGTTGTTGGAGATACCCCTCGGCAGAGGGCCCACAAGGTCTATCCCCCATCGAGAGAATGGGACAGAGGTGCTGATGGGGGCATAGTTGACCGCTGGCCTGCCGAGAGCTTTCTGGAAATGTTGACATGCGGTGCACCTCCGGGCAGGGTCAGCACAATCCCTGGCCATGGTTGGCCAGAAGTAGCCCTGGAGAATGAGCCTTCGGGACATGGAGAAGGGTCCCTGGTGAGCTGAGCAAGTGCCACTGTGCACTTCCTCCATTGCGACCTCGGCTTCATCTGGATGAAGGCACCGAAGTAGCGTGCCATTGTAAGATCGTTTGTAGAGCCTTCCATCTTCGATGGTGTAGCTAGGAGCCCTCAGCTTTGCCAGTTTAGCGTTGGCCTCATTCTCGGGTAGCTGCCCTGTGGAGATGAAGGTGGTGATATCTGAGATCCAATCCTCTTGACGTTGTTGTATGTTCATAACGGGGCTTGCATGGATGCTTGAGAGGCTGAGTTCCTCAATTTTGGCAATTTTGGAGAT